TTGAATCTTCATATATAGTAGTCACTGTAATTTTTTGTAATATCAGATTATTATTCAGCAATTTATAATAACTTCTTAATAAGTTGTAGCTGCCCGTATAATAAATAATGAAGTTAATGATTATGATTATTTGTTAATAATAAATATATTTGTGATATATCATCATTTTATATTTATTGATATATTATCCAATGCCTTACAAGTACTCCCATCCTTTTTTTTTCATTTTTTTGAACTCTTATCAATATATCCCCCAACTTTATTAAAATTATTCAATTTTTTAATTCATTATAGTTCCCAAGATGAATGCAAGTTAATAAATAAATTTAGGTTTATTCTTCAAGAAATTTATGAATTAAAAAAATTAATTTTTTATTTATTATAAATGAATTTTAATGTGAAAACAAATCTTTTAGTAATTTTATCTTGTTATTTTTTTAGCAAATAAGTATTATATTATATCAAATCTACATTATATTTTGAGCTCATTTTTACTTATTCTTAATTTTTATTTAAGTAATAGGAGAATGCAGGTAAAATGGCAGATATGTAAAAATTGAAGTTTAGGTGTTAGATATGTACATACATGGGAATTGATAGTTCTACAAGTAATTCTTTAAAGAAATTGTGGTTATTTACACACATACCGCCTAATTCTTATGTATTTACATATTTACGGCCAAAATTTTACTTTTTTTTTTCATTTATATCATATAAATCTTTGATATCACATTAAAAAATATTATCATTTTTACTTTTAAAAAATTAAATATAATTTTTTTTTATTAAAGTGGTATTTATTAAAAAAATTTAAAAAATTAGATCTTAAATATGAAGGGCATTTATGTAAATCTTCTTTTTTGTTTCTTTAAATATTATTTACATTTAAAAAGAAATAAGGCCCATTCCCCTACGGAACATATTCCGGTGGATATTATATAAAATGCATCCTTCGCTGTCCTGTGCGCCGGCGAAGTCTCTCACACTCTCGCTCACTAAGCCCACGCAGCTGGTCGGAGATGCAGCGTCTTCTCGCCGCGCGATGCTCGGCAGGTTCTCTCCGGCAACTGAAGAACTCTAGAGCGTTTTTCTCCACCTCCCTTCTTTTCGATGATACCCAAAAACAGGCATTCTTCTATCCCCTTTTTCGCGATTAAAATCGGTTCGCTGTTCGCCGTCGGTTCTGAAGATTGTATTTTGAATGGTTGCAATATTTTTTGACAGGAATGAGCGGTTAATAGGGCTTGTGATATTTATTATGCTTTCTATGATGATCGAAAGCTCGTCGAGGCAGTATTGATTTTGATTATGGCTGTAATAGAGCATAGGAGGTTGTATTTGACGAGTGATCACTTACTGAAACAGTGACAAACAGGCGCGAGTGTGATTGTACTGGTTTAATTTGAGTGAGATGCGTCTTTTGATATAATCTTATGATGCTGCATTGCAGCTTATGTTTAGCTGAACAATATGGTAGAACTCGTGTATAGTGTTTTTAAAAAATGGAGTGATGGTGTACCCTAATTGCAAGTTATTTTGATGTATGTTAGGAATAATCTTTCAATTTGGCGTCCAAGAAAAAAAAAATCTGGGAATCCGTTCAGCTTTAAGCTAAATAACATATTAATTTTTCTGAAATTCATTATGTTTTTGTATCAATGTCATAGCTGTTAGTTTTTCTTTATTAGGGCAGCCATCAAATCCCAAATTTTAACATAAAGAGAAGTTTGTCTAACTTGCAGAAGTATTTACTATATCCTACTATAAATCATCCCGGGTTTGAAGTAATTAAAATGCCGTTTCTTTTAACTCTGTTTTTTTCAATTGGAGATTGGCCATAAACTAGATGTTAGTTGGTGTTTAGTGTGAACAATAGAATTCCACTACAATTTCTGCTATTTTTTGACTTGATGAATCCGGCCCTTGCGGTTTTTGTCCATTTTTAGAATTTGTTAACCTTAATTTCTATTTTTTTATTATTTAATTTTCTTATGTCAGGAGTGAAGCTATTTCTTAATTTTCTGGTACTTTATTTTTTTTTGTTTATAATGCAGTTTAAAGAGAGTGTTCATCAATTTGCACAAGAAAATATTGCTCCCCATGCAGCGAAGTTGGACGTGACAAATCAAGTTCCAAAGGTTATACAACTAACCCTTTATTGAATTATTGCACGAGCTTACTGGTTAATGATATTTATAGTATCGTTCAGGAGCTTAACCTATGGAAACTTATGGGAGATTTCAATCTTCATGGCATCACATCACCGGGTAAGATTATATTACATGGATGAAGTTGACTTTTACTTTCTTTGACTAATTTGTTCATATACTTTTTTAGATCATTTTTTTTCTAAACAAATGAAGATTTTATGTTCCTTGAGTTTTATTAGAATCATGATCATTATCCTCCTTGCTGGTTAGTAGGGCTTGTCCTCAGATTTAGCTTCGATGGTAGATTTTTAATTACAACTTTTAACTCTATTTCTTGTGAAATTATCAAGATTAATGAGAATGATGAGAGTTGATTGAATCTTCAATTTCCTGTATGTGTTTGTTAATTCTTCTTCATTGGACTTTGTAATTATGTATTGCTTGCTACAACTTCACTGCGCATATGAAATGCTGTTATTCTTGTAATTTTTTATAGTTGTTTGGTAATTGATTAGTTTTTAAACAATTATTCTTTCAATTGTCAAGTATTGTTTCAAAACTTGCGGAGAAACAAACTTTTAGATAAAAAATAATAATACTTGAACCTTATATTTGCTAAATAAAACTTTCCAACCTCCCACATTTTCCTCTTTATTTGCATTTTAAAAGTTTCAGAAAGTTATTTTTCTTAACGAACATTAGGTTAAGATTTATTTTCTTAAGTTTATGATCAATATGATTTGTTAATAATATATTTGAGCTGTTATATGCACTAAAGTTTGTAATAAGTTATTACAATGGCCTCAATCGATATTTTTCTTGAGGCTTGCAATGTTAAATCCTATTGACAGTGCTTAATTAGAACTGCTTTAAGATCAAATATAAGTATATCTCAACATGTTTCCTTAATTTTTAAAAGCAAGCTTATGTGAGTCTATTTATTTTCTTAAGTTTATGATCAGCCTATGTATTGGGCATACGTCTAATCGTTATGTTCTATTACCTAAAATGTAAATTTGCAAAGCAAATTGCAAATATGTTTTAAAGAAGGCCATATTTGTTTGTTGTTATGCTATTATCGGAACTTCAGTTATTTATTGGCGACATGTTTGATACCTCTTAAAAGTGAAACATGTATTGTAGACAGCTAAGAAGCCACATCTGATAATTAACAGCACAAGTGCTTAATGCAAAGTTCATTTTTGCATGATGAACGATACTTTTCTTCTGAAAAGACGGATTTGATTAAGAATTAATTTTTATACAACTTTTTGCATTGTCTATAGATTTGTAAAACAGGTAAGTCTTGCATGAATAATCAAATAAGACGGTGGGTAAATGCTTAAGGTCATTCCTCAATAATTCAACTTTTGAAGCTGTACAACGATTGCATTTTACTATTATGAAGTATGTCTAATTTTCATTCATTTTGAACTTTCTTCCCTGATTCCCTGCATGTTTATAAAGTAATTTATAATCATTATTTTTTGGTGGTTTTTACATGACTTCATTGACATAACAAGGGGTTTCTATTCTTTGGTAAAATTACAAATCAATGTCAAAAAAATTTATTTTTGGAGTCGATAAATTTTCCCAAAACATAAGGAGACTGACAACTTCAAGATGATATGAAGAGCAACATTCCTAAATCCATGTAACAAAGGCTGTAGAAAATACTAACTGATTTGAATAGTCTAAATGCTTTCCAAATCCTCCTAAAGAAGTTGCTACCTATCAGTATCAGGTTCTAGAAAAAATTTAAATTCTGTACAACAAATCATTTTACTATTATGAAGTATGACCAGTTCTCTTTCATTTTGAACTTTCCTGTTGATTCCTTGCATGGGTCATAAAGTTTTTTATAAACGACATTGTGTGGTGGTTTTTACACAAATTCATCTAAATAAATAGGTAGTTTCTGCCTTTTTTCTGGTAAAATTACACATCAATGTAAAAAAAAAAAGAATTTTGGGAGGTGATAAGTTTTCCTAAAAGGAGTCTGACAACTTCAAAGATGATATAAAGAGCAAAATTTCTAAATCCAAGTAACAAAATCCGTAGAATATACTAGCTGATTTTAAAAGTCTAAATGTTCTTCTGCAAACCTTCTAATGTTGCTTCCTATTGATATCAAGTTCTATAAATATTTTAAATTCAATCCTTGACCTTTGAGACTGAAATCGGTGAGTTGTTGGTGTCATTAATACAAATATCCAAGGGTAATTGAAAATAGTATCTTGTCTTTTTGTCTAATCTCCTGGAATCTGTTGTTCTTCTCGGAGCATCTTTAATTTCCAAGCAAAGGTTTGTTTTCCTTCCCAGAAACTCTTCCAGAGCTTTCAAGTTCATTATTCATGGGCATTTATACTCCAACCACGGTTACTCGATAGGAGTATCTTGGGTGTAGAACAAGATGTAGAAAGATCAAAAAATTTTTCTTTCTAATAGATATATTTTATCTTGAAAAAGATGGCTTTTAAGTTCCACTGAAGCACACCATTGTGGTTATTTTCGGATCTTAATCTTTTGTACTATATTTTTCAAGATTCATGAATCATTTTGCCTACACATTTTTAGGAGTCATAGAAAGGGGAAACCATTAAGCAGTTATCATTAATCTCTATCTCTCTCATTTTATTTTCCTGTGTACGAGAGGAATTTTTTATCCCATTAAACCAGGGAATTACTAATATTATAATTCTATTACTGGAGATCAACCACCTTCTTCACAGGCAGAACCAATTTGAGTGATTAGACTAAGCTTTGAAAAAGATTATATATTATGATGACAGGTATTTCATGCATAATGAATTGTTACAAATTATTTAAATCATTCCAACTTAAGGATTTGCACTGAGGTAAGCATTAAGCTGAGCTATATGATTGGGATGAAAGGTAATGTTGATGGTGAATTTCCATCAAAGAATTTGATGGTGTGCTTTCTTCATCTTTCTGTTGAACTAAAAATATACTGAGTTTCAATTTTTACTCCATACCTTTTATAGGTATCTGAGAGCTTTTCAGTTACTATCGCATGTTCTTTGCATTTATTACAAATAACAAACCTGTTTATTCATCAGAGGAATATGGAGGTCTTGGCCTTGGTTATCTTTACCATTGCATAGCTATGGAAGAAATCAGTAGGGCTTCTGGATCTGTTGGCCTTTCTTATGGCGCTCATTCAAATCTTTGTATCAATCAATTGGTAAACTTGCTTGCAGTTTTGAATTGTTTCATACTACATGATATGATGGAATAATGATAACTATAACATTTTTTTTTTCACTCAGGTCCGGAATGGAAATCCTACACAGAAGCAAAAGTATTTACCAAAGGTTCTCCATAAATAACTTATCCCATTTACTTCTATTTTGGTTTCATTGGCTGCCAATATAATTTTTTTGATTCAATGCATCCGGTATTTTCACCTCATTTAGTTTGTGATAGTTCTGTATCCTAACCAAACATGAGACTTGTGTTTTTCCTGTTTGTCTGTGATCAAATAACAAACTGTATTTTATGTAGCTAATCAGTGGGGAACATGTGGGCGCATTGGCAATGAGTGAACCAAATGGTAAATTTATCTCTGAAAGTTATTGTTTATCAGTTTTTTTTGTTGAATTATCTTTTTCTTTTAGAATGTTATGTTGCTCTTTTCATATATTCCAGCTGGCTCTGATGTTGTTAGCATGAAATGCAAAGCTGATCGTGTTGATGGTGGTTATGTTATAAATGGAAACAAAATGTGGTGTACAAATGGGACAATCGCTCAGACGTTGGTAATCTCTATTTTATGTTCAATTCTATTGATAAATTTTACGGATAGAAAAATTATTCTTTACTTTATATGGGATTCTCTGTGAACTCTGCAACTTTCATAGAAATTTCTATACAAGGAACATGTAGATATTATTAATGTGTGTGTGTATATATATATGTATATATATATGAAAATGTTGGAAAACATTTTCTTATAGTCATCACACTTTAGTAAATTTAGTTCTTAAAAGCAACTTCTCATCATAAAAGTTTTTGAAAGGCTGTGAGAAAGCAATGACCAAATGAACGTGCGATGGCGGTCTGAATAGCAAAACAGTGGAAAATCTGCCTAAAAAGCCTAAAATTCATATCTATTTAGTTTCTACTAGGGTCGAAAAATTCTAAACTAATTTTTTTTCTTTGTCAATGAACATTCAAAAAACTCATCCTTCTCATTAACATTCAAAAAACTCATCCATCTCATTAACCTCTCATTTAAAACTATTTTTCCCATAATCAAAATATATTTTGATCCAACCTCCATATCATTGTAATTGATATGCAAATCAGCTTCTTTCCAACCTAGCTGGCCACTTTCACTTTCAAGGTGGGGAATGTTTTCTACTTCTTTTTTTTTTCTGAACTGCTGAAAGTTTCAGATCTTCTGTAAGGACGTCTACAGAAGTCATGATTTGTTTGTCTTCTGAGATTCAGGTGGATCTTGTCTTCCCAAGGAAACTGCAAGTGCTAATCCATACAGTTTTTTCTTTAATGATAGCATTTTACCATCCTCCACTGAAATATTATCCATCTTTCAATCATCCATAGTTGATGGAGCATGATATTTTCTTCAGATGTATTGCTTCCAGCACACTCTTAAGTGAATTACTCTGCATCTCGATAGGATTGATGCTGACGATATTTTAAATTTTTTTTTTATGGATAATAAAATCATAAACTTGGATCTTATCGTGATTTCATTTTTTCCTAGTTCTAAACCATAGAGTTTTTTTTTTTTTTGCATAATTATGCTATTCCAAATTATGTAAGGTCGTTTTGACAACGACAAGAACAACAACAAGCCTTTATCATCCCACCAAGTGGGGCGGCTACACGAAATTTTTTTCTCCATTGCGTCTAATTGAGTGTCATATTTTCATCATAAATCAAATCTAAAGCATCTACTCTCCTAACAAGATCATCAAATGGTCGACGTTACCATCTAAGACGACTCTCTCTATTCTTCTCCGCCACTAGAGCTATACAAACCCTATCACGGATTTATTCATTTTTCATTTTATCTCTAATTGTCAATCCACTGATCCATCTAAGCATTCTCATCTCAACAACACTTAACTTTGTTTTACGCTTCTCTTTTAAAGGTCAACATTCTGTTCCTTGGAGCATTGCAGGTCTTAGTACCATCTTATAAAATTTTCCTTTCAGTCTAAGCGGTACTTTTCTATATCACAATCGACCCGATGCATTCCTCCACTTCAACCAACCAAACCAACCAACTTGAATTCTACTTGAATTCTACTAACATCCTCATCTATATCACCATCACTTTGAACAATAGACTTCAGATATCTAAAATGTTCACATCTTTTAATGATTTAATCACCCATAGTTATAACTCTACCGTTAGAGCTACTATGACTAAAATTACATTTCATGTATTATATTTTAGATTTACTCAAACAAAGACCTTTAGACTCCAATGTAGATCTCCATAATAGACTTGAGATATCTAAAACGTTCACACCGTTTAATGATTTGATCACTCATAGTTATAACCCTGCCATTAAAGCTACCACTATTAAAGTTATATTCCATGTATTCTATTTTAGATCTACTCAAACAAAGGCCTTTATAATCCAATTTAGATTTTCATAATTCATGTTTTTTTTGAACTCTTTCTCTAGTCTTATCCACAAGAAGGATATTGTCAGCGAAAAGTATACACCAAGGTACATCCTCATGTAAATGTCGAGTATGAACATCCATTACTAAAGCAAAAAGATACGGGCTTAAAGCCGATCCCTGATGTAATCCAACCTAAATAGAAAAATACTTGGTCAGTCTTCCTTCTATCTTAACACAATTAACAACTCTAGTATACACATTTTAATGACTTGAATATAAGTCATATCAACACATTTCTTCTCTAGAACTCTCCAAAGCACTTCTCTTGAAACGTTATTGTATGCTTTCTCTAAATCAATAAAAATCATATGTTGATCCTCCTTATACTCTCTATACTTCTCCGTCAAATCTCCTAATGAATGTACAACTTCCATTGTAGACTTGTCCGACATAATTCTAAATTGATTATGAGAAATCTTTACATCAAGTCTTAATCTATGTTCAATTACCCTCTCCCATAATTTTAAAGTATGATGCATTAACTTAACTCCTGTATAATTTGCTCACTCATGTATCCATTTTACTCCTAAAAAATGGGGACCAAAATACTCTTCCTCCACTGCTCAGGCATCTTTTTATTTTTAAAATAATATTAAAGAGTTTAGTAAGCCAAGAAACTCATAAATCTTCTAATAATTTAATCAAGTCTCACTGGTTATCCACCCTTAGTTTTCTTTAAAGGCTCATCAATTTTTTTTACAAATGAGAGCGTAAAAATAAAATGATTTATTATTATTAATAAAATTAAAATTACTAAGGTTGATCATTTTTTCTGAAACTTCATTGAAATGTTTATCAAAATAACTTACCATCTATATTGAATATCTTCTTTTAAGAAAATCACTTTTTGATTTTCATCTTTAACACACTTTACTTGAATTAAATCCTTACTTTTCTTTTCACTTTGTTTGGCTAATTTATACATATATTTTTCACTTTATTTAATATCTAATCTATTATAAAGATCACTAAAAGTACAATTTTTATCGTCACAAATTCTTTTCTAAACTCTTTATGAGTTGTCCTATATTTTTCCGAGTTCTCTAATTTTTTACATTTAAGATTGTTTTTACATTAACACAATAATTTGGATGTGGAGACCCCCTCTTCGACTTATTTTTTTTTTTATTTTGATTGTCAACTAGGTGGTACATTTCGTATTCTGTGAGAGGCATTCCATTTGTTCAAGCCAATGGCTTGCTTTTCTCATTCGATTTTTTTGTCTTAATTTTTTTTTCTTTTAGTTTTATCTATCTTTTTCTTCGTTTTAATTATCTTTTGAAGTTTTCATGGTTGTCTTTTTATCACTTATCTTTTAAGTAACACGTAATCATAAGGTGATATAATTTTACCATTAATAAAAGTGTCTTATTGCTTCATTCGGCCGAACCAAATTTATGCCAGGGTCAGATGCCACTATTTAGTTAAGGACGATTAAGGGGGTCAAATAAAATTAGTGCAACAATAATAGGTTTAAAAATTTAATCTGCAAGTTAGGGAAACCACTCGTATTTCAGTTATATTGAATGGAACTAAACTTCTGCACTCCACAAAAAAAGATGCATCTAGTGCAGAAGCTTGTGTTGATGTACTTTTAGCCTTGCTTTGTGGAGTGCTTTTTTCTTTTGTTGGTTTGGGCCCATGCTCCTCAATCACTTATGATCTCCCATGTCATAATAATCTCCCATGAGGTGTGTGACACAAGCATTAGTATGAGTTACTCAACTAACTTGTGTTGATGTGTGTTAAGAAGTTGTTGCAATCACTTAGTTGAGTCAAACTATTGGCTATCATATCATTTGTTATGGAGCGAAGTTCAAAGGAAAAAAGTTTCGAGTCTAACGCAACATGCCAATATTGGGTAGCTATCCGACCCAAATGCTTACAGTTCAACTAATGTTATATTAGTATCCAGCTTCCAGTTCTCTATCTCATGTTGTAGCTCTTTGCACGGCATAACACAGATTTATGGTCTCATCATATAAGAAGATAGAATGAGTGGATGGTCAGAGATTCCATGTTTGCATCACTTTCTATGTATTAAAGTTCCCATCAGCAAAACTGATGGATGCTCCAAAATATACTATGTTGTCATGTTCTCAAAAGTCCTGGAAATTTAAGCAAATTTAAAGTCATCATACTGATCTATATGGTTTCCTATTTCATAAAGTTACTGATACTTTCTGTGTATAATGCCTATGAACTGCTAATTTGGGTTAATTTAACCTTCAATGAACCTGAAAAAAGCTTTCTAATTTTTCTGATAACATGGTTTTGCTATAGGTAGTTTACGCGAAAACAGACGTTAATGCTGGATCGAAAGGTATTACAGCATTTATAATCGAGAAAGATATGCCAGGGTACTTACCTCCCACTGTTTTTTTTTTTTAATTTTTTATTTTATGCATATTCCATCACTTCTCCATCACTCACTTTTATGAGTTGAGGCATGATTTTAGTTCATCGGACGTTTTTTTTTGCATTTTTTTACAGTATTGAAGTACCATGACTAGGATATTGTTTATTATGCGAGGAGATAGGAAATTTTTTAATTTTGAAGACTTTTTATTTATTAACTTTTTTTTCTTTTGCAATATTGATTGGAAAATTAAAGAAATGTATTGCCTAGATTTTGAATATCTGGTTTTCATATTTTGCAGCTTTAGTACTGCTCAGAAACTGGACAAACTTGGCATGCGTGGGAGTGATACGTATGCTTTGCTTTCTTATGACAACATACTAATAATCAACATCTTCACATTATTCTATTTGTTTGCTAAAGCTTTTGTTTCTTTCAGATGCGAACTTGTTTTTGAAAACTGTTTTGTACCTCAAGAAAATGTCCTTGGACAGGAAGGAAAAGGTATTTGCTATGTTGATATCCTATTTTGAATCCTTTGATTGACTTTTTTTTTGAAGACCTATGGATTTAATAAGTATGAGGAAGAATCATTTTAGTACGTGTAAGAAAGAGTTAGAAGAAATAGAAAGAATTGTTCAAAAAATTTTGCAGTTTCCAAATCAGTTTCTTACACTCCCCTACTCTTTTCCACCTATCTTGTTCCCATCATTATTTTTGAATTGTTTTTTGCACGGAAGTCCTCCATAACAAAAAACGCTGATGTTGTTGGATGCAACCTTCTGCTAGGGTCCCATCCATCATGGTTTCTAATTCTAGGCCAAAATTCTTTAAAGCAATCTTCTCCAGCCTCAAATCTCATGTTGTTATGATCTGCTTGCTGCTACTCGCCCTAAACCTCATGATGTCGTGCAATTCCCTCCTAATTTTGCAACTTGAATTTGTTATTGATTCCTTCATTCGTACCATAACCCCCAGTCAGCCTAAAGTAGCGATGTTGCCTTGATGTCGCGCTAATCCTTATGTCTGACACTGTTCGCAGCCATTCCCGATGTCGTCGCTCTATCCTGTGGCCAGCGGAAGCTGTTTTGTTTGTTGTTTGACTCTCCATGATCTTTTTCATCATATCTTTTAAGGTTGTGAATCTCCGCTCCAACCGACCTTCTATGGACGAAAAACACTGATCTTTTTCAGATTTGTTCGGTCTCATCTTTTTATCTAGTTCTTCCTCTAAAGCCTCCACTTTTTTTACTGTCATTATGCCCAGAACAGTTTCAATCACGGAGGAACTACCGTATGCTGAAATCTCATCGATGGTTTCCCACAGCCCGGGTTGTGTCTGTACCACGAGATCGTGAGTCGTGATCTGCCTTCGGCTTCCTAGATCGCCTGCATCACTATTTTATCGCGACTAGCGCATGCCAGATCTTGAGCTTGCTTATCTGTGCTCGCCCTGTTCTTCAGAAACTTGAAAGCGCCGCGATTCTTATGTTCTTAGCTAGCTCGAGTCGTGCTTTAAGGAGGCACTCCATGATCCAGTCTTCTTCCCAGCAAGTTCAAATCACGACTATATCGTTAGGGTGCAGTGGAAGGAGGAGAAAGGCAAGATTTTCAGTTTGCGATAGTATCGCACGCGAACCTTCTATTCGATCCCGTCAATTACGACTGTATTGTGTCTGTCTCGCGATGTTCGGTCATGAGACAGGCGGACTCCTATATGCGTGATTCTGTCGATTGCAACTATATCACGATGTTGAATCACGACCGTATGACCTCTTCTATATGGGCTTCTACAGCTCAATTGTGATTGTATCGCTTGATCATGATGTTTGGCTTCCCAACTATATCTTGAATCGTGACTGTATTGTGAGATCGGTCACGAAAGAGACAACGGAGAGGATGAAGAAGGATCGATGCTCTGATACTAATTTGATAGGATTCTTTATAGAAATTAGGGAAAAACATATATTTATTTCTCCAAAACACACAATACAACCACAAATATATAAAATAAAGGATAAACACCTACAATTCGAGAGGTAGGCGATCTCTCCCAATTCCTACAATTCGAAAGATAGGAAATCTGTCTCGAACCCTAATCCTAAAACTCCCATCAAATATCATGCATAACTCTAACCTTAAACATATTAGCCCTATTTATTCTAAATAATAATAATAAAATACTAAATTGCTCTTAAACTAATAAAAGATGAAATTGGCCTTAGCACCGTCATAACAACTCTTGTCTATTATAGTTAACAAAGGGCTTTGTTCACTACTTAGGAGTATTAAGTCATTGGAAACTTACGGGTTTTAGTCGTGATAGTAATTTAATGGTATAACTTTGTGACTAACTAGAGAGCTCCAAGGATAACTATACATTTTTGTGGTGTCTTTGATGGCAAAATTAGATGGTTAGATGACACGTGTCATGTCTTTATTGGTGTGATATTTTTAAAAATGTGATCAAAGAGTTATGCCAGATATGATGTTGGCCTTTTGTTAGTTTAGGTTAAGCTTAAATTTGTCACATTTGATAAATTATTTTGGATGGTGGATAAATCATTATTTTAAGCTTTGAATGATAGATTGATGGGAATAATTTTATATTTCATTTTTTTTTAAAGTTTTCATACGTAATTGGGGTTAAGTCCAAAATTATTTGAGTTAGAATTTCCGAAATTTTGGTGATGTTAATCTTTCAATAAGATTCTTTATCGATAGGAACATCATATGAGTATTTGATTGAATTTCATTATTTTTAACATGGACAATTTTATTTTTATTCTGGCATGGCATAGAGTTTTCAGATTGATATAACTTAAGTTCATATATTTTTGCATAGTATCGAGTTCACAGATTCGTATCACTTAAGTTCATGTAAATATTATTTATATTAAAATTCCTGTCGAGTCTACTTCCATGTCTAGATAATTGGATCTATAAGAGTTGAACCTGTGGTTTGTGCTTTGCAACTTGATATTGAGAGTTTGTATTTAAAATAAGGGGAAGACTTGGAGTCATATGTATAAGTAAAACAAAATATTTTTTTTATGAAATTCAAAAAAGAGCACCCCGCTTCAGTTTATAATAATATAGCGTGTTGGATTAAGCTAAGAGTAAGTTTGAATGGCCCGGGGCTCTCATAAACCGGTGGTTAAACCACTAAATTTGTTCAGGAAGTGAGGCAAGGGGAGCTAGCCAGTCCGATTGTTGGGTTTGGGTTGCTGCCCAAGTGCTCTTAGATATCTACTATTATAAACAAATGCTATTTTCTGTTTAGGGTTAGTTTTTGCTGTGGTTTAAGTTTGGACAGCCGCCGGCGTCCTCCTTTTCCCTTTTAGGGCTGTATCTAAGGACGAGTGCTCGGATGTAATTTGCTTCGAGGTGGTGATTAACCTTTACTATCTCATCCCTCACAACCTTTCCTCTGCTGACATATTTGCTGCAGCCGTCCAAGGACAGCAGGCCTGTCCTCTTCGCAGTCCCAAATCATCCACCCACCCCCCTAAATTTCTTCCTAGCTTTCGAGTCCACGTCTCCAATCACCTTTCCTGTTGTAGCCAATCCAATTTCTGCTTCACTGTCTCTGCCAACGCACCCTACGGCTGTAAAACCCTTCATTTATCCTGCTCAACTGTTGCCGTAACACCGTATCTAGACCCCACTTGGTGCCTTAGCCCCCCTCTCCACCTTACAACCTGCTATAACTGATCACCTGTTTTCCCCTAGACACCCTTCCTACAATTTCCGCAGCCCTGCAATCCACCATCCACCTGCAATCTAGCCGGTGCTCACCACCATCTCCTTCGCTCTAGGGTATCTTTTATATTTGTGTAATTATTTTCTTATTATCCGGAGTCTTTTTTTGTAACCATATTGAATTTCAACAATAATATTTATTTTTCTATTGTGATTTGGGTTAATAATTATATTTTTATGAAAAGACTCGGAGTCACATGTATACGTAAAACAAAATATTTTTTTAATGAAATTCACAAAAGAGTGCTCAATTTTCAATTTATTTAATACAATATGTTGGAATAAGCTAAGAATATAAAGTTTTAAGCTTTCCTTCGATCACACCCATTTTAAACTTGTTTTCTGGATTAGGCTAAGAGCACAGGTTTTACTTAACTCGAAATTTTCAGCACACATCCATTCTAATATTAGTTCAGCTCTGCCTAAGAGGACTGCCTTATTTCATATTGTCAGTGGTCGTAGAGATTGCAAATGAACACAAAATAGGCATTGGAACAAAAAATGCTGAATCCCAACTTTTAATAAGCAATGACGAGAAATTTCCAGTTAATAGAAGAGTTCAAGTGATCTTTCCTAATTTGAGTTAAACAGCCCATGCTCTAGCACCCCCTTGGAACATCTCTAGACAATTAAAAAAGTGCATGGTCTATTTCTGCGACACTATGATGTCAGGTTTTCAAACCCATCATGCTTATTAAAGCGTGCATAGGGCTCAGTACTTCTGTAAGAAAATTTTCATTGAATGTTTCGCTGCATCGAGTCAATGCTCATAAGTCTTTAACCAACCATGTTAAAAACATGTGCATGTCTTCTATACGTATATGAGAAATACACTAGTGTACTAGGATTTTTTTCGTTGCATTGAGATGATGCGCCTCTGTAGATATATGTTCTTAACACAAGTAAATTTCTCTGCATTATATACCTTTGCATGTGTGAAGTTTTCTTTTTCCAAGAGCTTTCATTTCCTTTTTACAACTATTCTCAATTTTGGTTTATTAATAGTCTTTTCTGTAGTTCTTAATTTTTATAAGGTTCATGATATATGATCTTACTTATCACTTTTGCTAGAGGACGTTGAGGACATGTATGAGTTCTCTTAAAGCAATGGATACTTCTTTCGTAATGTCATATGGAATGAGAATTTGTAAACTTATCAAGCCTAGATAGGATTTGTGACATTGTGGGCTATGAAAATTGGTGCCCGACTCTCCTGAGAGAGTTTTTTGGTGTTTTGACTTAAATTTTCAGAAGATAGATTTGATTATTGAGAAGACAATATTCATTGATTTCACTCATTTTTACAAGGACTTTAAGGTATGACTTTATGTTTCTTATAGCCATAAACTCTTATGTTTTATTTTATTAACTCTCATGATCAAAATCATACCCATTGCATGAGATATAATGATGTTGATATATGCCTAATTATTGTTTTTTAGTGTGGGGGAAGTTGATGTATTCAAAGTTACTTTGCATTGAGTTTTCAAGTTTTGAAACTACAACCTCCAAATCATTGATTAGACAACCTAATTATTTCTCCAACCCCTCATCTTTGTAGATATGTGCATCAATATTTATCCTTTTTCATATTATTTTGAGATTCATTATTTTTATTTGAAGGCTTGTTTGCATGTGCTTGGTCGAAATTTATGCACGATATTCTATTTTATTAAAGCTTCATTCATTCATTTATTTTCGTGTGAAGGCATGCATGAATAAGGTAGAAAACACAATTCCTCGTCCTTTTGTTAAGATACATGAATGTTTATTTACAAAATATAATATTTAGGAGAATATAGATGGAATATTTGTTTATCTTCATTTATTCTCTTAAGATTTTGTAGTGGATGTGATAAAATGATGTGACATCTAGTCAATTTGGTCTTTCTGAAAACAAATTTTATGGAACTCCGGCGATCTCTTAATGTTCTTAACATTGGTAGGCTTTCCGTGGTTGAGCAATTTGAGTGACTGATATAATTCACACTATGTAAAGCAAGGTGGTTGTGTTCTTTGGCATCATTGTCAAATGAAATATCATTAATTTTTTAACTAGGAGTGTCTGATGGTTAGCTAGATAAAATCTCACTTGAGGGGGGTATTTTGAGACTATTTGTCTACATTTGGTTTAGTTACACATAAATAGTTGACAAATCAGTTCAGGAGGTTCCCCAAAGGCTATATCAACCCAATTGGATCTGAATTGATCAAGGTAGTCAATTTATGGGTCTATCCTTTCCTTGCATGGCTTATGAACTAAAACAAGGCCACAAAAATCTATATTCTTAAGGTGGGATTTTAATCCATTTAAAGAGGCCAAAATCCTCAAATTTTACATGGTTCCATGCATTCTTCAAGGAGTTCAAATTTTGAAGATTTTAGATTTTATTTGGCTGCTTAGCATTTAATTTGATTATTTTATTTGCATTTAGATGTTCGTTAAGGTTTTTGGATGATTGTTTATAATTAGGTGCACCTAAATTGAGATTTAATAAGGGTCGTTTTTCATTTTAATTAAATTCTGTCACACGTTATTTCTCTGAATAGATTGCCAATTAGATTGTATTTGTTAATCCTTGAAGTGTGAATAATAATTCTCTTGTTTATTCTCACTTTCTTTTCTATCATGTTTTAGCTAAAACTTCTTTTGCATATCCTATTTCCAATTTAAACCTTATATCCACTGACTTTTCTTTATCTCTCCTCAAATTTGCGGCTAAAGAACCTCAAGAACACTTCCTTAGAAGATATCCGTGGACCCACATTATATTTGGCTCAATTGCCAATGATGCCTAATTCTATCTCTTTATCTGTTTCAATTTTGCTTGAGGATTCTTGCGTTTTCTTTATAACTCTTCTGGCCGTGAGATTCAAGGAGGAAGGTGGTGGTGGATATTGCATCATATGATAATCATATCTTCATGCGTTTCTTTCTTCCATGATTCTTGACCTGATCTTATAAAGAAAATATGACAATTGCATGATTCCTGAAATCTAATTGTTATGTATGTATGAAAGCTTCGAATTGGGAAAATTCAAGATACCCCGAGACCCCATTATCATAATCCATTACCAGTTTTGTATTATTGAATCTTGCACGAAACACTTATCTTTTAAGAAACCAAAAAGTTCACATAATTAATTCATTAAACTTTTATGTATTAACATGCAATGTGTCTAGTTATTACTGCACCTTTGACCTATTAGATAACCATCTCTGTTTGTGAATGACGCGGGGCTGCTAAGGTGCTGAACCGGCGCATGTTTCAACAAAGGGGCTGTCGATTCAGCAGGGAGGCTGAACCGGCCACCCCTAACTAAGGCTGGGAATTCCTGCCGTCCAAGGGGGACCCATCCTATTTATATTTTATATAAGGGGAATTTACATACACATCACTCGATTCTTATCCATTTATGAATCTCACACCTAAAATGTCTTTTTTACAAACACAACACCCAATTCATACTTTTCAACAGTTTGGAACAGTGAAATTCACATTTTCATATATAGATAAGGTGTTGTGTTTGTGAAAATCAAAGTTTTGGTGTGAGATACGTAAATGCATAAGAATTGGGTGCTAGATATGTCAATTTCTGTTATTATAAATTGTTGTTTGTGGTGTTAGGATTTAGTTTTGCTTGAGATTTCTATTTGGACAACCTCTGGCTCCCCTGTTTCCTTCTAGGGTTATATCTGATGATGAGAAGGTGCTCCAACTGTAACTCATCTCGAAGTAGTGTGTATATTCCCCTTTATTTGCTTGCTTCCCCTACTAAATGTTGCCACCTTATGGTAGTTCTTACACTGCCAGCCCCCGCCTATAAGATTCCCCATCGTAACTTCCTCCTACCACCTGCTCCTTGCCCGTCAAACCCAGCTGCAGTACCCCCTACAACATTCTCCTGTTGTAACTTCGTCTTACCACCTTGCTGCTTTCCCTTTAAACCCAGACGCAACCCTCCTACTGGCCTCTCTATCATCACTTCTTCCTACCACCCGTATTCCCTCTATCCTAGCAACATCTACCCCTCTATCAACTTCCACTACCATCGAGGCCCTATCCTATGCCCTCCAGTGTGTCACCACTTATCCTCAATCCTTTTTTCGCAGTCGTTCACTGTGAATCTTATCCAACCCTAGTCAGATATTGTTGGTTGTTTTTTCCTTTTCTGTTATGAGTCTTGATTGTAACTCGTTCTATTTTGAATACTAATATTTGTATTTCCTAGTCTTAATTCTGTTATCAGTGAAAGATGTTATACTGGCCATATTTTTTATTATTTCTTTGACTGATATCTCAAAATGTGGTTTCCTCTTTAATAGTTCTAAACAAATGAAATGAAGGATGGAAGGGTTTATACACTTTTGTTTTATGATGCACACACTCATAATTAAAGAGTAGTGCAGTGTCAAATATGGTATCGAATACAGACATCTCTTACACAGCTTAGACATGTGTCGAACACGACATTGAAGTATATGATTTAAATAATATTTTTAAACAAGTGGTCACTCGTGTCTTAAACTAATGAATTAAAATTTTTTTAAAAAATTTTAAAACACATATATTGAAGATTAAACTTTTAAATAAATTGTTATATTTTTTATTTAAAAGTTAAGCTTATCTTCATATAAAACTCAAGACAATCAGTGCTTACTTTTGCTATATCATGAATTAAACAATATATATGAATTTTTTAGCTTTTGAAAGTTAATGTTATTAAATTTTTTATTATCTCTTATTTATTTTTCTTAATACTAAGTTTATTTAGTTTTTATGATTTACATATCTAATATCTAAACTTCATTTTTTATTTATATACCACTTACCTATGCATGAAAAAGTGCATTTCACTTTATTAAAGTTGGAAAGGTGGTATTTTAGATGTCATATCAAAGATTTGGTTGGTGTAAATGTAGAAAACAATGTTTAGGAGTTGGATATGTAAATATATAAGAAATGGGTGGTATGTATGTAAATATCCTTTTATATTAAAATGTCGTTTTTCTACGCATATCTACGTAGGGTTGTAAAAGAGCCGAGCTTGAGCAAGCTCAGGCTTGGCTCGTGTTTGGCTCGTTCGAAACTGCTCGTCTTCGAAATTGGCTCGTTCAAAATCGGCTCGTGAACAGTGTGTTTGTGTTCGACTCGATTTAAATATTCGTGTTCGTGTTCGGCTTGTGTTCGACTCAAAATTGGCTCATTAAAATTAAATTGGAAAAACTAGATGTAAAGTGTTGGATTCGAATTTGGACCAAATGTTTGCAAAAGAAGACACATAATCACATTATCACACGAGATGTTACGATTTAAACTTAGTTATAAATATATATAATATATTATTATATAAATAATATATCTAATATATTACAATATAAATAATCATATATTTTTTTTATTTCGAGCTAAAACGAGCTGAACACGAGCGAATAAATAGTTGTTCCTATTTGGCTCGTTTATAATTCGACCTTTAAAAACTTGTTCGTGTTCGACTCGTTTACTTATCAAACGAGAGCCGAACACAAGCTATTGGTGAACAACAAGCTTTTTTGGCAACCCTATATCCATGCATATATTTTCAATAATAGAAGTGTCACATATAATTTTCGTGTCGTGTTGGTGTTCCTGTCTCCGTATCCGTGCATCATAGTTCGTGTATCAATCCCAAATTGGTAATTCATACCATGAAGTTAATCACTTGTGTATCTTAACACATTTCTAGTGACTTGACTAGTGGCGTCAACATTTGAATTATTTTTATTGTTGCAGGAGTGTACGTTATGATGTCAGGACTTGATTTAGAGAGGCTTGTTTTGTCTGCTGGACCTCTTGGACTCATGCAGGCATGCCTAGACGTTGTTCTTCCTTATGTTCGTGAAAGAGAGCAGTTTGGGCGTCCAATTGGTGAATTTCAGTTTATACAGGTGAGTTTTAGTTAGTTGGCTTTACATCTATTCTGAAAGATTTCTATAATTCAATTCTCACTTACTTTGTTCTCAAGAAAGAAAAGTTCTTATGAAGTTTTTAATTGCAAAATATTTTTAAAAATGCAGGGAAAAGTAGCTGACATGTATACAGCATTACAATCATCAAGGTTTATTTTAAATTCCACGTACTTCTAACAATTTATCAATTCCCAGTTATTTTTTTTAGAGCCCCACTAATGTGTCCATACTTCTTCTTTACAGAGCTTTCGTATACTCAGTTGCTAGGGAGTGTGACAATGGCAAAGTTGACCCCAAGGTTTTATTTAACTTTGTATTTACGTTATGATTGCTGCAGGAGTTTCATGCTATTTCTGGGCTTTCTTTTCATTTATTCTTTTCTGAGTTTTGAAACAATATTGTGCTTATACATGGAAAATATTCATTTTTATGGTTGCTTTTATTAGATGGTCGGTAAGTACTTGTTTTTCTTGGGCGATAATCAACCCAGAATGCTTCCCATTATTTGATATCTGTCTGATATGAAATGCAATTTGTTGATATTTAGGCCTCAGTTTTTACCAACCTTTTTTTTTTAAATATTCAATTTACAGCCTTCAAAGTCTTATTTGATGTATATTTTCATCTGAACGTGCTTAAATAATAGCATTCTTATTTGAGAAAGTAAAACATGCTTCTTTTATTTATTTCTATGTTTTATGTCTCTGACCATGCCACACTTAATAGAATCTTTATCAGTAAAAGTTGGATTAGTTCAACTTTGCTGTATCGAAGCTGAATGATGGGGCTCGGTTGGTAGAGGCTTGTCCCTCCAACGTAAAGATCCGCGTTCGAGCTAAACTTTGTTGTATTGAAGCCTGTACTCTTCTACTTTGAATAACTTCTGAAATCTTAAAAAGGGTTATTTTTCTTTTTAAATGCTCTGTTACTTCTAAATTTTATTGTATCATAATTATTTTAAAAATATTTCGCCCCTTATATTTCTTTCATAATATTTTTCTACTTCTCCCTTTTTAGGACTGTGCTGGGGTCATACTTCTTGCTGCCGAAAGAGCTACCCAAGTTGCTCTTCAGGTAATAAAACAAAGGAGCATTATCGTACATACCACACAATTCTTACCTATTTACCTATCTAACAACAAAACTTCAATTTTTACATCATATTACATAAAAAATGCCACTATTTTGAAGTTTAGGTGTTAATATGTAACAACATAAAAAAAAAGGGAAAATGAAAAGAAAAATTACGCAGGAATTGTGTGGTGGTATGTAAATAAATCTTTCAAAAGAAAAAAAAAAATGTTTTCCTATATAGAGAGCACCCGAAACATTGATATTTATAAATCAAATGCTCATATGATTTTTTGAACTGTTGAACCCATGCATTTACACATGTAATGATCAAACCATCGAGAATTTGATGAAAATAAAAAATATGTGTTGGGGTTTTATATTGAATTTTGATATTTGAGTTAGAATTTGAAAAATGGATGAAAGAAGGTGCTTGATTTGAAAATATTAATGTTTCCGGTGCTCTGCCTGTAATTGCCCCCAAAAAAGGGTAATCTTTATTGTCTCATATCACAACTTTTAATTTCTTATGCATTAAGATTGATCCCTATTCTTAAATGATGCGTAATTTTCTCTTATAGTTAACTAACCCTTTCTGTTCTTCCTATAATACTTTGTGATCATCAGGCAATCCAGTGTCTTGGCGGCAACGGATATGTTAACGAGTACCCAACTGGTCGTCTTCTTAGAGACGCCAAACTGTATGAGATTGGCGCTGGGACAAGTGAGATCAGAAGAATCATCATTGGCCGCGAACTCTTCAAACACACCTAACTCCTGGTCCGCATTTATCTCACTAAATCTCTGCTGCATCACACAACAAAATATGATTTTAAAAAAAAAAAAAATTCACAGCAGATCAGTCTTATAGTCTCCCATTTTGATGAGGAAAAAATCAAATTAATTTGTCAAATAAAGAGCGTTGTGTGATATTCAATTCATTCAGTTGTAATTTAAAAGTTACTTTTATGTTGAGAAATAGATGGGATAGATTTGAAAAAAAGTTAAATAAAGATATTCCACATTTTGGCTTGATTCATGACTAGTAGGAAATTGTTATGGTTAGAAATGATTATGCCCGCTATATTTCATCTCAGCATTAAGGCTGGGTTGATTGAGGTTTTAGCTGCTTTGCAGAAGTAGAAAGTTATTGCAAAATATTCACATTTTATGACAAATATGAAGCCTTTTTTAATTATTTTTTTATGAGCGCAAAAGTCCTGCATCTTAGGATTCTTTAATTTGTTTTCAACCAATATGCTATGCATTTGAGCACATATTACTTTAGAATAGTGTTAGCAGCCTATCTAAAGAGAAACTGAAGACTGGAAGCTGCCCCGAGAGAAATGTTGACAGGTAAACAGATAGTGTAAAGTATTATTTCATTCCCATTACTTGTTGTAGCTTTACATAGGTTGTTTATATAAACTTATACAGGAATGTTCTAGAGTAGAGTGCTGTCACGTGTACAGCAGGGTAATACGTGTGAACCGGGGAACCACTGGCATGATGAGTATCATGGTGGTGGAGAAGTGCTGCTAATACCCCCTTCAAGCTGAGGTTGCTTGGTAGAACATGAAGCTTTGTTATGTAGTTCCTGAAATTTTCGTTCTGGTAATGCCTTTGTGAAGATGTCCGCGGATTGATTTTGGGTTTGTATATAGTTAATTTGAATCTGCTTGGCATCAATATGGTTCCATATAAAGAGGTAGTCAATCTCAATGTGCTCCGTCCGGGCGTGAAAAACGGGATTATTGGCTAGAGTCATGGCCTAAATGTTGTCACAATAAATTGGTCTTGGGTTTGGGAAGGTGATTCCAAATTATTGTCGACAAAGCCATGTGACTTTCGTTGTTGCGGTTGCTAAGGCCCTGTACTCCGCTTTTGTAGATTACCCGGCCATTGTTGATTGTTGCTTGACGGTCCAGGAAATGGGAGCATTGTCGCAAAACACGCAAAGTCCAGTGGTAGATTTGTGGTGCATGTGATGCATAGCATCGAAGAAGAATATCACCCCTGTTAGATGTGTAAGCCAAAGTGACTGGAGCCTTTCAAATATCGTAGGAGATGAGTTCGTTGTTTGTAGTGATGTGTAGTTGGAGAGTGCATGTGTTGACAAAACCAATATACTAGCATAGGAGATGTCCGGTCGAGTGACCATGAGATATTTAAGAGAGCCCGTTAATTGGCGGTAGAGAGTTGGGTTGTGGAAAGGAGTACTTGGTGTTGAACCAGACTGCTGTCTTTCTTGTATAAGCGTGCTAATAGGAGTGCAGTCTGACATCCCTGCTGTTTGGAGGAGTTGGAATACATACCTTTGCTCTATATTTTTTCCTGTAATAATCACATCATCCACGTAGATTACCACAAAGATGTGAGCATTATCTTGATTATATAGAAAAAGGGATGGATCTGATGAAGAAGTTCGAGAATGTTATGAACCACTGTCGGCCGTAGAGAGATTTCTGAAGTAAGCAAACATGATGGGGAAGTTGAGGATCGGTGAAGCCCAGTGGTTGTTTCATGCAAATTTTTTCGTTGAGGTTGCCGTGGAGGAAGGTGTTTGATATGTCAAATTGTAATACATCCCATTGGTGTGGAGGGAAAGGGTGAGAAGTATACAAATGGTGGGAAGCTTCGCGAACGGGCAAAAGGTTTCGTGATAGTTAATTCTGAACTGTTGTCGTATCCTTCGACAACGAGGCAGGCCTTGTATCTAGGTACTTCACCAAGAATTTAATTTGGTTGTATATGTCCACTGGGACCCAAGTAGAGGCTGTTTTTTTGGAGGTACAATTTTCATGTACATTATTTTTGGACTGCAGTGAATTCTTCAATCATGGCCTGTCGCCACTGAGGATATTTGTTGGCTTGAGTGAAGCATGTGTGGTCGGGTGATGACTGAATTTGGCGGGAAATAGTTTAGTTTCTGGGTTGGTTTGAGGTAGCCAGTCTTCGATCCGGTCACCAATTGATGCGTGGGCTGTTTTGCAATGGTAGAAGGTGGTTGTAGGGAATGTGGAGACAAGGGAGGTGCTGCAGTTGGGCGATGGGTTGTGGGTTGGTGCAGTTTGTTCGTTGGGTAACGGATTGGGAGGATTGGGAGAAAGCTAGGAGGTTGGTATAAGGAAGCATGGAGTGGTACGTTGGTTTATGTACTGTTGTTGGGCTGCCTTGGCACAGAGTTAAAGAAATGGGAAAGAACTTTTATCAAAAATCATGTGACGAGAGATGATTATTTTGTTGGTGATGGGATTGAGGCATTTGTATACCTTGTGTTGTAATGAATAGCCACAGGGATATGCATGAAGTGGGCGAGGTGCTAGCTTATGGGAGGTTTGTGGTTTCTGCCAAGGATAACAATAGCATCCTAACACGGGGAGGTGTGTGTAGGTTGTTTTTGATCGATGAAGATGTTCATAGGGGGAAATATGATGTGTAGTTCTAGTGGGCATCCGTTTTATGAGGTAAGCTGAGGTGAGGAGACTATCGGTCCAAAAGGTGAAGGGGACGTGAGCTTGATGCAAGAGAGCATGGTGGTCCAAGTAGGTGACGATGTTTTCTTCGACCACACCATTTTGTTTAGGTGTATATGGGCATGAATATTGATGGCGAATGACATTATCAGCGAGAAATTGATTAAGATTGTGATTGTTGAATTCGCGGCCTCCGTCAAAGCGAAGAATTTTTATCTTGATGTAGAATTGATGTTGAAGTAGAAGAACAAAGTGTTTGGTAGTTTGTGTAGTTCGAGGTTTATCATGCATGAAGAAAACCCAACAGCATTTAGAAAAATGATCAACAAACGCACTATGCAATTTGTAACCTTGATAGAATAAGATTGGGGAGGGACCTCATACATCGCTATGAATAAGTTCTAGTAACTCGTATTTGTGACCTATGGTAGATACAAAGTGCTGTTTGTGACTCTTAGACATACTACAAATACTGCAAAAAGTTGGAGTGGATGGTATATATAAGGATTGGCTTTTGGAAATTGTAGAGATGATATCGGAGTGTGAATGACCCAATCACGATGCCATAGCTTGGAGTGTTGCACGTTGGAGAGGAAAGAAGTCAATGCTCATGGAAGAGTCGGGGAGTATGGCGTGGAGTAGAGACCATTGAAACTGGATCCCTTGAGGATCAGCTGTGAGTATGTGGATCAAAGATGTAGAACCCGAAAGAGTCAAATGAAACAATAAGATTATTATCCTTGGTTACTTTGTGAATGGAAATTATGTTGTGAGAAAGCAAATGGCGTGGTGGTTTTGAGAGAGTTTAAGCTTACGGATTGGGATGGAAATGAGGCCATCACCCTTGTATTGAATCAGAATTGCTTGCCCATTGCCAACAAGAACCTTTTCCGAACCTTCATAACGAGTAGGTTGTTGTAGTTGATTAAGATTGGAGGTGGAGTGTATTGTCGCTCCCGAATCCAAAATCCAGCCTTTGGAGGTGGCCGTTAGTGCTTGAGGTGGTGGGATTGTGGGGGTGTAATCAAAGTTGTTTCTATGCCAGCATATTGAGGCGGAATGTCTGGCTTTGTTGCATATTTGACAAATTGTTTCTATGACCAGATCGAAGACTGGCTACCTCAAACCCTCCCACCCACCCCTCCTTATTGTTGAGATGTCCTCTTCCTCCAGTAGCCATGAGAGCCAATTAATCTTAAGTGGAGGGAACAGTTTTTTGTAGTGTCATTGTTGATGTTGATTTCCTCACTACAAAAGAGTGTGTAAAGCTCCTCAAGTGTGATGGGCTGCAACATAGTTCGAATGAAGGTTTTGAATGCATTGTAGGAATGAGGGAGACTATTAAGTATGTATAGAATTTCATCTTCCTGGTCGATTTTTTATCCTGCTGATGTGATTTGATCCACCAGATGTCGAACGTCAGTGAAGGAGCAGAGCTTCAAAAGGGACGGAGCTGAAGGCCGGATTGCGGAGGTATTAAGGAAATCGCGATATTAAAACGGAGCGGTAAGAAAACGTCCATCCTAACGCACTAATCAAACGGGACGGCAGCTTTTTCAAAATGCCGCCGCACCCTATAAGCTGCCCCAAACGGGCACCAAGTATTGAGTCATAGTGTTCCCTTTCATTGAAATATAATATAATTCATTTTTCAACTGAATCACACGAGATCTATTTATGGGTTGTAGTCAGTGTTCTATAGAAGGTTTAGCATGTGGGGAAGCACTGATGGGTATATTGTTGTTTGGGGCGAAAGGAGGAGGGGATTGGGATTCAGAGAATGTTGATTCATCCATTCTGAGGAGAGGGGGATGAACATTACTTCGTGTGGTTTTACACAGGATGTTTATATGTATACAGGAATGTTCTACAGTATCATAGTTGTCACGTGTACAGTAGGTGGTTATGGGTAATACCTGTGAACCAGGGGACCACATTCATGATGAGTTTCATGGGGGGTGAAGAAGTGTTGCTAATAAATAGTTTGCTTTAAAGAAAAGTAGAATTACATGCATGCCAGACAAATCTCATGTATTTACATATCTAATACCTAAACTATTAACTTTTACATACATGTCACTCAAAACATCATGTATTACATATTTAATGCTGTAAAGTTTATATCTACTGTAATACATGCTAAAAGTTCCTAATAGAGCATTTCTACCACTACGTTACTTTCCATTTGTTCTCGCTATCGGGGAGAAAAATAAAATTGTTCCTCGAGAGATCAATTGACTAAGATTCTCGAGTTCGTCAAGCTCAGGCCGGAACAAGTCGACTAGCTTGAGCCGACCGGAAACGTTACAATTGGCTATATTTAGACGGACCGAGGAAGTTGCATTCTGAACTTGGGCGGAATCCCTCCTTTGTAGATATTGAAATACCCAAATATACATCTATTGTAGCTTAGTCAACATACTAAGGGTTTTTTTGGGGCAGCTGCAACTTATTGAATAACCTGTTGATAAGCTAATTAAAAATAATCTACTGATAAGTTAAGTTCGGTGGTTATTACAAATTTTTATTTTTTTGGAAAAATCAAATCACAG